TGTTCATGTTCTTGTAATACACCAAACAACCAAAAACCCTCATGTGGTCATATTGTGGTTTTTGATTCCAGATAAGCTCATAGGGTGTTTTGTTTTTAATGACCTTCGATGGAAGGCGATTTATTATATATGCAGCGGTAAGAATACACTCACCCCAAAACCTTTTAGGTATGTTAGCCTCAAAACGGATTGCACGGGCCGTCTCAAGGAGGTGCCGATGTTTTCTTTCCACGACTCCGTTTTGTTGTGGAGTGTGGGGGCAAGTTGTCTCGAGGAGAATTCCTTCTTGGCTGTAGAATCGATGCATGGAGTTGGAAGTGAATTCTCCACCATTATCACATCTAATCTTCTTGATGGATTTTCCAAATTGGACCTTTACCATCTTGTGAAAATCAATGAGGCATCTACTTGCATCATTTTTATGTTTAATTAGAAACACCCACACAGCTCTACTACAATCATCAACTATTGTAAGAAAGTAATTTGCTTTTGTATATGAGGGTATTCGATACCCACCCCAAATGTCACAATGAACAAGATCAAAATTTGAAGTCGTTTTATTGATGCTAATGGGAAAAGGTGTCCTGGCTAATTTTGCCTTTGCTCAAGAATCACAAACTATACTACTAGAAACAACTAGACTGCCTTTAATAAAATCAATCTTTGAGAGCTTTCCCTTCAAAGCATGACCCAACCTTTTGTGCCAGATGTCGCTAAACGTCAGCATTGCTTTTCTTTCCTTGACCATGCTCATACGATACAACCCCCCTTCACGTTTACCCGCTCCAATCAAGTTCTTCATACGGAGTCCCTGCATGACACAGAAATTGGGAAAAAAGGTTATAGCACACTGCAGATCGTTAGTTATTCGGCTCACCGAAAGGAGGTTGCATTTAAAATCTGGTACACACAAGACTCCATCCAGCTTAACTTCTTCTGTGAGAGTACAATTTCCTTTTCCTCTAACAGGAACGGACTTACCATTAGGTATGGTAACAGGTTTCTCAAAAGGAGTAATTTCTTTATTTTCAAGTATATCAAAAAGATGTGTTATGTGTTCAGTGCATCCGGAGTCAATAATCCAGTCATCATTACCTCCTTTACCTTCCATGTTTGCCTTTGGTTCTACTGACTCGTTGCTGCTGGAGAAATGCTTCATGAACAACTAATACTATTCGTTGGTTAATTCCGGTATGGGACTGCTCTTCGTCTCCGTGCAAGCAGCCCTTGGCTTGGCTTTCTCCCCTTTCTTTCCTAGCCACCACTCAGGGTAACCGATAAGTTTGAAACATCCGTCTCGTTTGTGCCCGTTTCTACCACAAAACGTGCATTGTTCATCTTCCTTCTTTTCTTTGTTCTCCTTGAAGCTTTCTGAAAGTTTCTTTCCTTTGGAGGATTGAAGTTAGTGCTCTTTCCTTGGAACGCTTTGAAGGCAGCAGGTTCGGTTGGTGCTCTCTTATCATTGGAAATAGTTCTTTGTCTTTCATCTTCTGCAACCAGGTGGTAGACTGTGGCCAAGGATGGTGTGGGCTTTGTTGCAAGGATCTGTGTTTTGATGACTGCAAAATCCGCATCGAGTCCCATGAGAAACTGATACAACCGTTCTTTCTCCTGGAACTCGCTTATCTCTTTTCCAATATTGCATGTGCACTTGTCACAAGAGCACTTGGGGAAAGGAAGAATCAATGAAACTTCATCCCAAAGAGTACGAAGACTTGTATAATAAGTGGAAACAGAGGTCCCATCTTGTCTTATTGAAGCAATTTTCTGTTTGAGTTCATAAGCCCTAGGAGAACTCTCTTTGCCAAATCGTTCACGCAGATCATCCCATATCTGAGACGTTGTGTTAGCGTATTTAACGCTGTCTCGGATATTCTTTTCCATGGTTGTTGTGAGCCATCCCTTCACCATGGCGTCACACCTCATTCATAACATGTAATCCTTTGCTCCCTTTAATGGCTTCTCAATAGTCCCATCAACGAATTCGAATTTATTCTTGGCAAAGAGGAAATTTTCCATCTCCTGCGACCAGTCTGCATAATTGGAATCTGTGAGTACCTCATTAACGTGGATCTGTTTGGAACATCAGATGGGTGAAGGTAGAATGGAGAATCGTGATCAATGGAGGAGCTGGAGCTTTCTCCACTTTTGTCTTTTGGATCGGATCCTATCATCCTAGAAGAAGAAGAACAGGATTATTTAGGGTTTTGAGTTTGCTCTGATACCATGTAGAATACGATGGAAATCAGATCTATTTCATTAAACAGCCAAATGGGCTTAAATAGGTACAAGAAGTAACAAAACTATCGCAAAGAAAGGGACGATAATAACCAATAATTACACAGGATAAACATTCAAGAAATATAATAGTCTATATAACATATGTTGTTTATGTCTTTCAGTTGACCATAGGAAGGTAGCAAAGATCTTAGATCTTCAGTATGCAATAAATACACAAATAAATAAAAATAGATTTTTGTTTATGTATTTGTCACACAAAATATCAATATACTTTCATTCATCTGTTTATTATACCATCACACTTCTATCATTTATTCCATTATGACATTACAAGTGCATATTTTTTTATTAAGACATCATACTTAAAAAATCTAACCAATTAAAACACTGTGATAGAAGATTTGGTTAAATACTATAATGCTTTTAAAATCATACCGGTGTCAATTCTTATCATATAAAGTGCAAATTCCACAAGATAAATACATACAACTCAGATAAATTATCACAACACCAAAAACAGTAAAAAAAATAAAATAAAATAAAAACGCTGTTTTTTACACGCAAAATCTATCTCAAAAATGCAGCTTTTAACAATACAAAACAGTTAAAAAGTTATGTTTTGGTAGTAAAAAAACTGTCGTAAATAAAAGGTAAAAGTAGGATTCAATGAATAAAAAACATGGCAGATCATTAAGAGTAACCGACTTTCAACATACAAATAGGGAGATTGGGTTTATTTTGGAAAAAAATAAAATCTGAAATTGTTTAAATGAATAAAAAATCAGGAGTAACTCTAATGCTTCTATATACATGAATAGCAACGTTTTCACAATTCCTAACCCATAAAATAAAGTACATTACTTCTATTGATGGTAAAATGTAAGTAACATTACTATTATGTGTAAAAATATGTAAGTATGTTCCTATTATGAGTAGAACCTTATACTTTGAAAAATAAAAAAATCTAATTTTCCTAAAGTATAATGTTGTAATAGGAAGAAACTCCTAGAAATGTCAACAGATTTGAGCACATTTAACCTTGAAACTGATTTTGCCACTTGTTTGACCAATTTTTTTGAAAATTTTGAACTAAACTGAAAGTTAGAATATGTTTTATGCTTTATACCTTAAATTCATGACAATGAGAAAAATACTTAGACTAAGTTAACATATCATATATATTGTTTAAAACTCCACCATGAACTGGTATAGCAAAAAACCAAACAAAACAAAACAAAACAAAACAGTAGCAATCATTAGACATTTCGATGCATTTTGATGAGATCAATTATTTAAATCATCTTGATTCATTTCAAAGAATCAATCAATGGATTTATAAACACAACTTGCGCACTCTTGTTCGGGATAAACCAAAAGTATGATGCTTTCAGTCTTTCATATAAACATCAGTAGTCTAAGCATATGGTAAAGCAGAAAAATATGACATAAAATTCGCATAATAAACATTGTTAAGAAGTAAAAATATATTTTTTTTGTCATGAAAATCAGCTCTATTAGGTACAATGTGTAGAGACAAATGAACTGTTCATATTCAAACACACAGGCGCATCGAATAGAAGATATATAATTATATATATAACCTTAATTTCACGGAGTTGGCAATCTTAACTAGCAATCTAGCTGATAAAACAATTTTGAACATGCCCTGATTTAAGTTCAGTGCGTAGAAACAAATCACATATATAATATAGCTTTGAAAACTAATGATTTGATGAATACTTTATGAAAATCCGCCAATGTAAACTCCAGCAGTACTAGATCAATTCGGAGCCCTCTGTGTCCGTAGTTAACGAAAATTCGAGGAAAAGGGAGAACGGAACACCGACCCACTATCTACTGTCGGTAGATCAGTTTGGAGAACTCCAAAAGGAAATTAGGGTTCCGACGAAGAAGGGCAAAAAATTTTTGGACAAATTCTCGATTTGTGCGTGCATGGGCCATAATCTTCTCTGTATCGTTCCAATTTTATTGGATGTCCCCGAAGGGACGATTGTTTTTCCTCACCTTCGCCATATAGACGGAAAAGCAGTTCTTCATCTGGTTTACTCGAAAAAGTAGAAACATTAATTAAATACATATATAGAAATTTATAAACTAAGATATTCAATTGTAGATTGAAAAAGTTTTAATTTCTTTTTTGATAAAACTAAACCTTTTTCTTTGATTATCTGTAAAAACTTTGATAACTGCATCGATATGTGTTTGTTCATTTCATTTTGTAAAAAGGATTTGTAATTTATTTTATTTTGTCATTATCGGTAAATTAAATGTCAAGTGTCCGTAAATTATTTGTCGTTATCAGTAGATTCAATGTAATATGTCAGCAACATAATGTGTATAACCCTCCATAGCCTAGGGGCTATAGGTTTGTCGTATTGCAATCATACAATTGCAATTGTGTAAGTTTCAATTATGTAACCGACTCTCTTAGAGCCTATAAATATGGCTTTTGCCCGTGTGGAATAAACAAGAGTTTTTGAGTGTTTAAGACTTGAATTGATCTCAATGTTCTTCCTCTGTTGAAATATTGTCTATTTCTGAATAGCAGAGCCTTCTATCCAAAACTATCCATATAATCCAAACAATCCATCATCAATTAAGAAACCCATCAAAAGATCAATCCAACACATCATTCAGGTATAATTATTAACTTATAATATCTTTTTTCTCATCGTGCAATCAGTAATTAGAAGTACAAGACACGGTTTGCCAAACAAGAAAGAGATTTATTTATCAAGATGCATTCAAGTTACCTAATTTTTAATGAAGATTTTCAATTACTTGTTCCAAGCATCACTTTCGCAAACATGGGAATAAACAACGGCTTAAAACCAACAAATGATGACCTACCACATGAAGTACCTACGCAAAACCATCTTATTTTTGCATTAGCCGGGGTTTACCTCGCATCATCACGAATAGGCAATGGCAAGGATCAAAAATCGCAAGCCAGAATCAATTACACAAGTAATACATTCATTATTTATTCTCTCCAAGATAATGGAATTACACCCGACGCAATCCGAGCAATTGAAACCTTCGAGCAACCATTCGAGAAATTTTCCCATCACTTAGCCGAACTACTGGACTGACCTAAGGAAACTACTTTGTAAACAAATAATGCATGTCCCACGACATAATTGTAGTCACTGTGATGAAAATACAGAAGAAACACCGTTTATAGAAGATTAACATCCATACACGCAAACATTATTCACAAAAAATACATGTCATTTCGATGGCGGGAGGATTGACGCACGCAATGACGCATGAAACCATTATTATTGAAGACACATGTCCTTTCTTTGTGGAATGATTTATAATTTATTTTATTTTGTTATCGGTAGATTAAATGTAATATGTCGAATGTGACGTAAAGTAGGTAAGATGTAACATAAGGTGTATAGCCCCCTAGACTATGGAGAGTTATAATCTTACTTTCTTTACGTCACATTCGACATATTACATTTAATCTACCGATAACGGCAAATAATTTATCGACATTTGACATTTAATCTATTGATAATGACAAAATAAAATAAATTACAAATCATTCCACAACGAAAAGACATGTGTCTTCAATAATATCGTTAATAATAATGGCTTCATGCGTCATTACGTGTGTCAATCCTCACACCACCAACCTCCGTCATATAAACGGAAAATCAGTTCTTCATCTGGTCGACGTGGGACGAGTTGTATAGCATCTCGCTACATTACATTAACTAATCCACTATTTATTTAAAGCGTTGGCATTTACTTAATTTTGTCATCAAATTCCTCAACAAGATTGTAAGGTGCGGTTTATTCTTTTTATTTCGTTTTAGTTTATGTATACATAATCATCATGAGAATGACTTTCGATTTTGGTGGATTTTGCTTTTTTGAGGCTGATAATTATACTTCCATTTTGTGCTTCTTGGTTTGTTTTTTGTAATTGTAAGCATGATAATTTTGTAATTTATTTTTGGTGGAGTTTTGTTTTCTTAGATGCCCTTATTACTCATTTATATCGATTTTTTTAACAAGGTGACAAATTCATCAACATTAGAATGGTATGTTACCAAAAAAGCCTACCATTTAATCCAAATTTAGTTGATTTTGTAGTTGAATAATGGAGTAATTATAGGGTAAAAAGCTAAGCAAAGTTGGTTATTTGATTCGGTAGTACTTGCTTATAAACCAAAATATATCGACTTGATATGGTTTTAGAGCATATTATATACAAATAGTATGTATCATGCTCCTTTTGAAAATCAATTTATAAAAAGTTATGGTTAGCAGTTATGTGTTTCATGGAAACATTGTACATAATTATATTTTGATTTAGTGGAGACATAATTACATATCGACTTATTGACAAATTTTGATGATTTGTTTTCACTAATACGGAGTATTGTGTAAGGAGTGTTTGAGATTCCTTTTTGAACTTAAAAAGTGTTTTTTGGACAAAAATGTTTATTAACTTACGGTGGTAGTAAAATGAGTTTTTAAAAAATATTTAAATTCATTTTTTGTGGTGACAAAGTTAATAAGTCAACAAGTTAAAAACTATTTTGCTGAAAATTTCGTTTCTTATGCTATTTTATGGGTGAAAATCTAAAAGGAGTTTCAAAAACCAAGTTTTACGGGTGTGTTTGGCAAAAGTAGTTGTTAGCTGAAAGCGGGTAGCGGTTAGCTGGTAGCGGGTAGCTGGTAGCGTGTAACTGGTAGCTGGTAGCGGGAAGCTGTAGCTTTTATTTGTTATATGAATGTTTGGTAAAAGTAGCTGGAAGTTTTTGAAATATATAAAATTACATAAAAGGACAATTTATTAAAAATAAAAAATATATATAAATATATTTTTAAGGGTAATTATGGAAATTGATTTCAAAAGCTCCGGAGCGTTTTGTTAAAAGCTACATGAAGTAGCTTTTAGAATCGAAGCGTTTTGTTAAAACTAAAAGCTAAACGCTCGTACTGCCAAACGAAGCTTTTTGTTTAAATTAGAGCGTTTTGTCAAAAGCTAAAAGCTAGAAGTTCCCAAACGCTTCCAAAAGCTCCGTGCCAAACACGCCCTACATGTTTTTCAAAACTATTTTTTGAATGCTTTTATAATTAATGGAAAAGTCATTTTGAAAAATGTTTGACATAATAACTTTTCATAACGCATGTAACGTCAGTCAAATTACCAAGAGATTTTTCATTTCCAAAACAAATTAACCAATTAAAACATTTATTTTAGAAATCATTAAGTAACATTCATTTGTTAAAATCATATATTATCATAGTTAAATTACAAAATGGTGGAAACAAATATTCTATTTGATAAATGTTCCACTCAAGTCCTTAATCTTGAGTTCCACATACTTCAAAACCCACTTCCCTTCCTCAAATATTTAATCTTATTCGTCGTACTATCACCAACCCCATTTTGAATGACCAACTCCTTAGGTTGTGGTGGTTTTATGTCCACCGCCCAATCACTAATTCCATAGTTTACTACAGTGGTTTGCTTCACAAGACCTATGAGTCCTCCCCACAACGGGTGGACTTCTTCAACTCATGTACTCCTTTTCCAACGTTCAAATATTTTCTTTGCGTTCCACGTCATTCTTGAACCACTTCATATTATTTCGTATGAGCCTTGATTTATCCTCATCTATTTCTTTGATCAGCCTATTTAGGCTATCAATTTCACTTCTTGCATGTTACATGTCTTTTTGTATATATTTTTCGAGTAGAGCCATGAACTTGTCTAGGTGTACTCCACGTACGTCATATAAAAAGTTTCATACTCCCGCTTCATGGGGACCTCCTCAAAATCTCATGACTTTGGGGTAGTTGGGTTCTAACTACGACTAGAGTATGGCGACTCATAGAGGACATGTTTTATATCTTGTTCGGAAAGATGGGGGAAGTCAATGGTTTAAGGTCGCAATCAGAATTATAAATTATCACCTCAACATAATACTTCTTAGGAGGGAGTAGTCTACTAGTTCCCTATGTTGAAACCTCGCTTATCATGATTCCTTTACCACGGTTAGTAGTAACTACAAGCAAGATGTCGTCTAGATTAGCTTATGGATTACCTCACTACTCTCTTCTAAGCTTAGGTGTTTATGTTAACACCTAATCTACTTCAACACGTCTCATATACCATCTTGAAACACCCTAAATTTCAAAACACAATAGATAATTACAACCAGTTCCAATATCTCCCAAGATCAAATCAAATATCTTTTATTGTTTTAACTATAACAACAATAAGAAAATAAGAAAAAAACAAAAATCTTTGGAGAGTTACATCTTTTTGAAACTCTTTCGTCGTCTTTAGGATTAAGCCCTCTTATTGCCTTTTCTCCTACCACTTTGATATACCGTTTCCTGAATTGCGCACTTTTAAAGTTCTATTTGGGTACGCATTGGGCCTAGTGAGCTCAAAGTTTTCATACATGTAGACGTCTGCAAACTATTTTATCATGCATTTCTAATTCAAAGTATTATATGAATAAATTCACCCTATAACATAATTTAGGGGAATGTTTTAGATATAGAAAAAGAAACAATGATCTATTTCTCATCTCTATTGGCACAACTCATCCGTTATGATCAAACATTTATATAGCCAAAAAATGAGTAAGATCACAAATCATATCTTTGTTGATCATTATACGTTTGACATGTTCCAACTATCAAACACCCCTTTTGCTCCCACTAAACGAGTCATCCAAAACATTCACAAAGTAGATAAAAAAAAAGTCCAAAAAAGTTTCATGCTAACAACATTTATTGCACAACATATTTGAATCAATCAATAAATAAAAGCACATAAACATCATATTTTGCATGATAGATATTTTTGAACAAACAACCACAAAATTCAAACAAAACTAAACTCAAAGTTGTTTTAGCCTAACCAAGCCTGTTATGATACCCACTCCTTACATTCCACTAACAAGTTTTCATAAGACAACAACTCTTGAAATACATCTTAAGTAACCAATTTGGTTCAACTATGAATTCCATTTTAGCTCTTCATCTTGCACGAAGAGGAGTTTCGATTAGCTCTACAATTTTTCCCGTTTGCAAGCAAACAAAAGAAATCTATGAAAATTTATTCCTTAATAGTGTGATTTGGGTTGTAAGCCCATTAATTATTTGTTGGAAATTTCATTTTCTCTAATGAAATCTTTCGTCATTTGAAAAAAAAAATGGACTGTTTCCATCAAGATGATGATATGCGCCGAGTTAGTGTAGTATTTAATTATTTAGCAAATAAACTTTACAGAAATTAAATCTATATTTTGGAAGCTATTGGAAACGAACAAAGCTTTTTCATAGGCTCAATAACCCTATAAAGTGCTTGACTTGAAATAATTAATTCCATAAAACAGAATAAAATGAAATATGTATTTTGGACATGGTAATTTGGTCTTAAACTAGGAGTTTAATTATAAGGAAAAAAATTGCATCAATATTGTGTACGTACAACATTCAGTTTATTATTGTATAACACTTTCGTTCATTCTGTTTATTATTGTATAACACTTTCCTTTATTTCCTTACGACAATTACACATGCATATGTTTCCTTATTAAGACACTGTAATAGAATAGAACACAATATAATGTATTGAAAATTGAAAATCATACCAATAAATGCTATTGAATTGAAGACGGTTGCTTTACCAAATATTAATGTTGCAACATCCTACCCCACATCACTAGCAATCAAAGAGTAAAGTCGTAACATCTGTATCCCCCTACATGAAGGGCACTTTCAGTACTAAGGTACATAAAACCTTAAAAGTTTGTTTACACGTGTCACTCTTAAAGTTTATTTGCATGTGTCCCTTTTTCGTTTGTGGTAAAAACCATATTGATGGATAAACATCACCCATGTCTATTCACATCATATCATATCATATCCAAATGCCATAACATAAATGCATAAAACTATGTCCTTTTTAAGGCCGAGGGTTCTCCACCCATAATAGAAACCTACTTACATTTTTTTATTGATAATAACAAAGTAGTTACACATCTTTATACATGAATATCAATGTACTTATAATTCCTAACCCATAAAAAACTATAATATTGCAATAGGA